TATATATATCAGGGGTGCAACGATACAGGAAATTCATGGTTCGGTTCGATACTTTACTTTAGTCTCACGGTTCGATGTTTTTTCGATACAAAAAAGAGAAATTTCCATGCCCCTTTTAACTTGTAATTTATTTATATTAATTATGAACATTTGTTTAACCTCAAAAGTACAGTTTTTTAATTAAATGTTGCTGAAACATCAAGTTTCTCAGTAGATCGGTGCTCATAAATGCAGCCTAGGTGGAGTAGTTGAACACAGATCCACTGATCCTTCAACACAGAGCATCTTCAGAAGACAAGTTGATAAAGATAATTTTTTAAATCTGTATTGTTCGATACAAGTGTGTATTGAACCTAAAGCACTGTTCAATACGGTTCGATAAGGGTACATTTATTGTTTCACCACACACACACACACACACACACACACACACACACACACACACACACATATATATATATCCTCCTAACAACTCTTGTGAAGCACAAACCACAGTGAGCTACAATTTAGTTGAAATACAACAAAGAAGGATTCCATAAGATGAATAAAACAGCACTAATTTACACAACATACATGGTTAAACTGTACAATCATGTCAAACACAACTCAAAGCTACACTCAAAAACAGAGGTGYTGGATTTACTTAAAGGGGACATGTCATGCAAAATCTACTGTTTTAGACATTAAATGCTTTWTGTGTGATTTCTCTGCCTGTGCTGCATAGATATTTTTATATTCTGTTTGAGTCATAATTTTCAAATCGTTMAGTTTTCTTTATCTTCAATTAAGTTTTCTGAATTATTACGTCACTTTATGTGCTATATAAGGTCTGGACTTACAGACTACAGTTTGGCGGTCTTTATTCTCCTCCGGCTCCAACTTGTAAGGCTGGATGGTCAAGTTTTCTCTTGTTGGTATTTTAAAGTTAACATGTAAATAAAAAGTTTCTGCGCAGCYATRTWGTCATAAACCTTTCTATCAAATTACAATGGACTGCTCTGGAAGTTGAGAGGGATGGGGTGTGAAGCTCCTTGTTTGGATTTAAAGAGACAGCCTCAAAATGAGTTGATCTGAGACACATCTCAGAAAAAGGGAAAGAGGSGCTTGTGGAGTTATAATAATGAGGATATTAAACCAAAGTATTGCAGTTCCACTTTAAATAGACCCCACCTGAATGATTTAAATGTGAAAAAGAAGGGTTTAAAAGCATGATGTCTCCTTTAACAAAGTCATGTCAGCTGGTTTTACTCACCTGAGTTGTGTAAATGTAAAGCGATTTTCACATTTCCTCAYCTAAGTTGAGTGGAAGCAGTTACACAAAATCCAACGTACAGCCTGTGCTGYATTGATTTGATTTGATTTGATTTATTGATTTAACAGGAAAAGATTACTAAAAATCAAGCCTGACTCAGCATAATTGCTGTTTTACAGCAGGTTCCTGTTCTGCAGCACATAAAACACTCAGAATTACAGCAGCATCAATCACATACACCATAGACACAAAGACAAACAAGCATACCAAATTTCAGGAAGGCAGCATTTGCAAAATAGGACGTCTAAATA